TGCGGCAATAGTGTCTCACAGCCAACAAGGAAAGACAAATGACCAGATTAAGTTTCTCGGGCACCATTGGATAGCAGCTTTGAGAGAGCTCTGCGCGCGCACACACACATACACACACTACTCTGTCCTTTGCGAAGAGGATGTGAATGTTATTGGCAAACAATACGCAGAGAGAGAGAGAGAGAGAGAGAGAGAGAAAAAACAAGTTTGCAAAATGGAACAAAATGTCAGGAGATCAAAGAGCAAATTATTTCAACCTCTTAAAAGTAGCTTTAGTCAGTCCTCACTTTGTTGCAATCGCAGAGCTGCTTCAAAGCAAGGTGACGTTTGCCACTAATCTTGCCTCTTCGTGTCAATTCATTGCAATCAATCGACCTGTTGCCCATCCATCATATCCGACATACGGAGGGGGGGAAAAAAATGACCGTGGATGCTTTTTTGTTCCATTTGGAACGCTCCTCATTATTGATTAATTTGTACCAATTGAACGCACCTTGTTTATTTCTCTGCTGGCTTTCCTTCAATTGCCTTTTAAATGGGTTTCTGGGAGAAACAAAGACATTCCAATTTCCCTCCCAAATGATTCACAGCCCACACAATTACCAGCCAATCTCAGAGACTGCTTGGAGAAGTGCTCCAACACAGTCGATAATGAATGGCTTGATTCTACTTTGATTAATCGTGAGCCAATTCCAAGCTGCAGTCGATAACGTGATAATCTTGACCGGGTCCAGCATGACGGCTGTTCAGAGGAACCTTAATTGTTCCAAGAAGAAAAGGCAGAGTTTAATAATGTAACAATAGGAAATGAGACAGCCGTCTTCTGGGGTTTTATTGGGGAGAAAAGTCACCGATTGAACAGTATAAAATCAATTTTGCAGTTCCTGAGCTTTATTTTGTAATTCAGAAAAAAACGAGCAGTCTGTGCCAGAATCAGCCTTCATTTCCCCGTTTGCTGCTTCTATTCCAATCTTCCGATTTCCTTTTTCTCCTTTTCCTTCCTCTCACTTTGTCCCTTTTCAATTGCGTGTTTCAATTTCACTTGCGTGTTATTTGCATAAGTATTGAATTTGGCACAGTTACAATCGGGTTACAAAACATTTGCAGTGCAGTAAAAGAGACTGAGTTCTTTATAGTAAGGGCGCTGTGTGGTTGTAATAATCTTTGCATTTGGTAGTGCGGTTAATCCCATCGCCAATGTCTCAAAGCGTTGCACCAAATTTGCTGAAGAGTATCGTGACTGTGCATTTGTACATAAACCCAGCAGCCAATTTGCACACAGTGATGTCCCCCAAACAGCCATGAACTGAACAACCAATTTCATGTGGTGGATTATTGGCCTGGACACCAATGAGAAATGTCTTTCTCTTTTCAAATTGCACCGCGGTATCTTTAACATCCTCTGAAGGATGGCATCTCCAACAAAGAGGCACATCCCAGCACTGCACAAGAGTGTCACCCTTGACTATGTGAATTCAAAGGAGCGACGAATGTGGGGCTTGAATCCACAACTTTCTTGACCCCGAGGCGAGAGTATTTCTAACTGTGACAGTAATTACTGTAAAGCACTTTGAGATGTTTTGACACAATACAAATGCAAGTGCTTTCTTCTTGCTGGATTGAGTGTTTCAGCACGCTCAGAGTTCTGTGCCCTTAGGCTGATTACATTCCGGACTGCTTTGTTCAGGAGCAGGTCCCATGGAGCAGATAACGGGTGAGCACACACACTGAATTGTGCTTTAGCAATTCCACCAGCCGTTCTGTTGGCATCACTGGAGGAAGTAGTTACATTGCCCAATTCCTGAGCCTACACTGACATTAAATCCTTCTGTCGAGACACCACAGTACAGTCTTCAGATGGCTGCAGGCAAAGTTTATCCTGTGGCAAGCAGAGAGTAAAAAAAACGAGCTTTGGCACTTACACACAGTGGCCCAACTCTGCCTTTGATTTCTCTGACAAGGTTGAGATCAGAGTGGGGGTGGGTATTTCTGTCTCCCACAAGAGCACAGCCCTTCACTCTGAAATCTTAGATAAGGCCAGTGCATCAGAGCTTGACTTCAGTCAATCTCGTTTCAACAGGAACTTATATTTTTTTACCAGTTAGAAGTACCAGTATCAAAGCGCTTCAAAGGCTTTCTTTTCTTCTCTGGGCACCTGTTTCACTGTTCATCCTTGTTTATTAGTTGTGTTGGAGTGAACACTCAGAAGACTGAACCGTAAGGAAAGCAGTTTTCATAGTATTTCCTTTCATCTTTGATTCTTTTCACTTCCTCTACTGTTCTGTCCACTTTTACTTCCTTCCGCACTCTCTCAGTCAGGTGACAGTGGCATCGGGGTTAATACAGCCTGGCTTCAACACTAGGAAGTGCATAATAAATGGGTTTATAGGTAAGAACACACCTTATTAATAATAATAATCATCTTTGCGTTTGATATAGTACTTAATCATGTACTTTGTGAGCAAAACTTTTCTCTGAATCTCCCTTCCATTTAATATTTGAGCCAATTTCCACTCGGGAAGACACAATACACAAACAGTCCATTTTACAGGATATCCTGTGAAACACTTTGAGACCGACACGATAAGGCACTATATCAAATGCAAGGATTATTATTATTACTACTTAGCAAATTGCTGAAATTTATAAGGTGTAGAAAGAGCTGCGAGTCAATTGTCAAGTCACAATGATAAGTATTGAGTCAGAAAAAAAACCCTAGTCGTAGAGTTCTGTGGCAAAAAAGTATATCCTCACCTCCCACAGAGGAAGAATCACAGAAGCATTTTCCTGCCTTTCATACATTTTATTCTACAACTTTCACCATGTTGAAAGCTCCGAGCTTCCCCCAAGAGGGCGTTGAGATTGATAAAATATGAATCCTTGTCTGTGAGCAAATCTCCCCGATTCAACCTAGACTCAGGAGACTGTTGTAAATATTTCAACACCACTTCATATCTGACTTTAGTCCACAAGGAGGGGGCGGGAGGGAGGGGTGGAGGGGCGGGGGAAACGAGGACTGGAGTAGTATTATTTTATTGAAGCAAATAACTGCCGAGAGTCATACAAGTGACAAGGGGAACGGGGGCGTGTAATGAAAGTCTGAAATTATTGTTACACTGCAGATGTTGGTCTTTTCAAAGCCCCCTGGGCAACTCAAAGCTTCAGGGACAAGTAGCAGTTCAAGATGCAACCGGTTCTCAAAGAACCATTGTCGACATTTGAGAAATTATAGGGGAGCTCGTATCTCATTGTTTAAGCGTACGACTCTTGATCTTTGTTCGTTTGTGGTGCCTGGCGGATAATTACCACCCCCACAGCGGATTTTCGGGCGAGAGCAACCTGTTCGGGCAATTGTGGCGTTTAAAGACTCGCCTCGGAAGCCAGAGACGGGAACTGAAACCCAGCAACTGATCCAAGTGTGGAAACTGAACGGGAAAGATCTATGTTTTTATTTGTCTCTGGTTCCTTAGGGCTGGAATCACTGGCAATGTTTCACCCAAGTCAGATGCTGCAACTTTCCTGAATGTACGAATGTAGAGACCGAGTATTATCAGATTACACAACTCGCGCACACACTTACACACCACACACATACACAACACACATGCACAGTACTATCAAATTACACACACAGACACACAGCACACAGACTTGGAGTGCATTGCCTGGTACCTCTCTAACTCTCTCTGTCTCTGCCTTACGCACACCACAAAGACTCACTTGAGTACTGTCAGATATACTTCATCGTGCCACCGTGTATTTTGGTACACAATTTAGGATTTCTTACAAAATGTTTAAAGAACAATAAACTCAGAAAGTTTACCATTCTTCAAGCGATTGACACTGGTGCGTCAAATAAGTTTGCGGCACTGTTCAGGATAAATATTCTTGTCTACATCAAATCGATTTGAGAAGCTGTGGTTTGTTTGAGAAACGTGCTGTAAAGCCTGTGGCGAGAGGAATTTCAAATGTCACTCAGGGTCATTCACATCCTTTAAAGTCAGTATTTCCTCTGAACATGTCAATGTATTGGCAATGTGTGGCAGACAGTTAACATGCACTCATCAGAGGGATGGATAATTTGCTAATACAGCGGCAGAGGTTCAACCAAACCAATTTGCAGGAGAGCCAATACATTGACATGTTCAGAGAAAATACTAACTTATGTGGACAGAAATAAAAAGTTAAAAACAGCGCCTTGGGACGTCCTCCCGACGTGAAAGGCGCTCTATAAATGGAATCTTGTTGTTGTTGTTGTTTCACTTTACTGATGCCTGTTCAAAAGGATCGGTTTTAATTTTGAGGATTCCAACTACTGCACAAACAAGCTACAGTCAATTTTGCAGCATTCCCCCCCAACCCCCTCCCCGCCGGCTTGTTTTAGAGTCTCCAGTTAATGAGAACTTACAAATGCTGAGCTGGTGTTGGTCAGTTTTGGAACATGCAATTTCTCCTCTTGAGAGCAACACAGGGGAGACAGCTTGCTTATCCCTGAAAAACATAGAAGCCAACACATTGGGGATCCCAAATTGTGAAGCTAGAATCAGCTAAAACCTCACATTTTACCAGTAAAGCAGTGGATAGCTTCCTGCTCTTTGCTGAACTAAGATCATCCTCCCTATCAGGGCATCGATCATTGATTTTTCAGAGTTATCAAGAGCCAAGTGAGAAGCTCCCTGTCCCCCATTGACGTACGTGAGGACACAACAAGGCATTAGAACAAAAGGTTTCGGGTTTAGAGTTGCAAAAAGTAATTTCAGAAGAGATACCAGGAAACGTTTCTTTATTTAGAAGGTCCTTAAAGACTGGAACAGGTTGCCAGGAAGGGTGGTTGAGGCCAGGACGTTTTTAAAAAAACTTGATGGTGTGATGAGAGGACAGTAGGTTGAATGTTAATAATAATCCTTGCATTTGATAAGGCGCCTTATCACCTCAGTAGAGCACCATAACGTTCGTCACACGGTCTCTTTCCTAAATGGGTTTCCGGTCTTTTGTTCCAGATGACGTGCCACCTTATTTCAAGACGGAGCCGATTCACTCACAGATCCACTTGGAGGGGAACCGCCTGGTGCTGACGTGTATGGCGGAAGGCAGTTGGCCTCTGGAGTTCAAATGGCTGTACAACAACACAGAGCTGACACGCTTCTCCCTGGAGTACAGGTCAGAGTTCACATTTCAACATCCATGTTGGATAGTGGCACTGACAATATTCCAGTCTCCTTCTCCTCCACTCCACCCCCACACCCTGCTCACACCCCCCAGTGCCCTTGGACGTCTTTCCGATGCGAAGGGCACTATACGAGTGTAACTTGTTGTTCAATGTGTTGCTGTTTAAGGTCAAAACAATGCAGTTCCCCCAAACGTCTTTTGTCTTATATTTTTCTGCAAGGCTCTGCTCGCTCCTGTCCTCACGCGTGTGTTTGTAACATCAGCAAGGTTGCTGTTTCAAAGCAAATAAGTCAGTGAGGACAAGTGGGGAAAAGTGCCTGTGATTAGACCAGTGCTCTCAGTCTCAGTCCTCGTAGTCAGGAGGTTCTCTTGCACTGCATCGTTCCGAGAACATCATCTCACTCTGAACCGGTCGAATGGATGCAAGCGATTGTGCTGCAGCATAAATTAACTTACAACTGTGGTTTCTTTCCCTTTCCCCTCTCACCTCCCATTCCCAACAAAATAAAGAACCAAATGCCCAGGATTTATGTTAGAGTAACCACTGTCTCTTCCAGGGCTTGGTATGACTCTTAAAATCCCCCCCCCCCCCCCCCCCCCCACCGGGCGAAATGTAAATTTTAAGCACTCTTAGACGCTACCCTGCTTGGAGGGTGCCAAATAAATGCAAGTTGTTGCTGCTGTTGTCATGCATCACTACGGGAACTTGGGTAGCGGAAAGCGGATCGCTGCGGAACAGGCCGGGCATGACTCTCTCTCCAAGTCGCCCACAGGAGACCCTCTTTGGGGTCATTCTTGGCAATTCCTGTTCCCAGCCTACGCGTTTTCTACTGCTGCCTAATTCCTGCCACTGTGTAGGTTCGGCCATTTTACAAGGCTGCACACGGATTGCTGAGTTTGATGTTATCTCTGATCATTCCCCTCCATCATTGATTTTGCTGGTGGCTTGTGATACGAACTAAAGATGGATTTTTTTATCTGGCACTGCAGTAATTAGCCATCACGTCATACTTAAATGTAATCTTGTTGTTGTTTAGACGTTAACCCTTCCATGGGTGGGGGGGTGGCAGTACTTTCGCTATAGGATTGAGGAGCTGTAAGGTTCAATTTGTTTTAGTTTTATATTGAGAATGCAGTGCAGGGAGAAAAAGTGTTCTTCAAAAGAAAAGCTGCTCTTGTTAAGGGACGTTTTCTGGGAGAAGGGGGAGCTTTGCAAAATTTTCCATCTGTTTAATAGTGAATCCTATAAATCCCACTGAATCATATTTTCTCACCACTTGGGTGCACTAAGTAGGAACCCGGTTGTTAGTCGATTGGCGGATCCTTTCCAAGGGTAATAAAAAGACAAAACACACAGTCGCTACACGTCACAGTGTATCCTGTGAAGTGCTTTGAGACGTCTCGACGACGTGATAAGGCGCGGTATCAAATGCAAGGATTATAATGCCACCCAAACACAGACACGGTGCATGGCGCAGAGGCATGGAGCGAATGATTGACGTAGGTTCCACCCAGTTGCCAATCTGAGCTGAGACAGAGGTGCATCTGGAAGAGAATTGTGTCCAGTGGCTCCCAATGCTTTCTGGTAACAGGCGAAAGGGGAAATGGTAATGGGCTCACTGCCCATCCCTTCAACAGTCATGCAACGTTATATGTTCAGACCAGGTGAACTGAATCTACTGAGAGAGGTATACCAAATTTTTTTCCTTATTTCAAAAAATTGCATAGAATTATACAGTGCTCACGTGCTTTCTCCTAATAAATCAGTACATTAATTCTTCTTGACCATATTGTTGGCAGGCCAGCAATGTTAACAGAAGATGAATGCTTATGGAAACCTATTTTAAGATTATAGAAATATAAGCCGAGCTATGGACATAAAAGGCATGCCACGGAACATATTGTGGGGCTTTATGGTATCATCAATTAAACCCTGTGAGTTTGTGACTTGTTGCCTCAAACCAGTTCAATTTGAATAATTTCTGTGCTAATTACTAAAAGCTCTTCAGTGGAATATGAACATCACTCCAGAACTCTGGGTGCTGCTCATCTGCAAAATAAAGGAGAGTTTAGAAATCGGAGATCAAAGGTTTTTGTAGAAAACCAATTAACCTATAAAAAAAAGAAAAAAAAAGACATAAAAGAGACAGCAGATACTTTATTTTCTCTCGGGATCAAACTCTGGATTTACACAGATGCTTCACTGAATACTTACGTCGAAGAACAGCGTCACAGTCACGTTGATTTTTTTTAATATATTCTGTGTGGAGGGTCACGCAATAGCTGTCATTTATATGAAGTGTATATTTTTTAAAAATGTATCGAGTCTGGTTTGTGAGGGAGTTGATCTTTCACAAAATTAAGCATAATTCTCTTGCAGTATTTAAATGCATACATATATCATTATAACTGTACTCATACTTTTTTACTGTTATAATTCTTTCAATTATTTAAGGGTTTAGGTTAGCAAGACAGATACTCTTAAACTCTACAGTAATGTACAGTATGTAGTAATGACTTCTCACACTGGACAGAATATACGCTTGTAATACATCTTCACCACCAGTTATGTAGTATTACAATACTAATTTGCTTACATCACAAAGACTGATTCAGTGGGTGAAAAATGACGTACAGGCATAATACATCATTAAGGTACATCATTAATGGTTCTACGTTTCCTGAATGTTGAAAGTTATGGACCATTTCTGTTTCCTTTAGACTAAAGAACTTAACGAGCCTGTGTCAGGGACGTTGATGCAGATGAATCAGGCATCAATACATTAGAAATTGTACAAATCCAAAGTGTATCATTTCTGAAATGTAAAAACAGCTCTGGTGAATTTGAAGAAGTTCATGATGGTCTGAGTGGGGAAAAAAAAACAAGACAAAAGAAGATTGCAATGTCCAGTTTCAATCGCACTGAGAGTTGACAGCTGGCAGACAAGCTGCTTAGCACATCAACTTGGCTCATGAAAAATACACTCGCAGCCTTGCTAAATGTCAATCATGAAGAGTGACTGTCACTTGTCTCAGTATTAAAATGTGAACTATTTTAGTGCATGTCACTCTGATAAATGCAGCGCTCTAATGCTTAAATAAACCCGCAATCTGTGTCACTCTTGCTATTCATAAATGCCACTCTTAACAATGCGTCACAGATGCAGAGCTCTGACCGGTTACATTCACGTTCGACTCAGAGTGTTTGAAAGTTTGTAGATCTTTAGCAAGCCCTGGGCAATACACGTTCAAAATCTTTGCCTGTGACGGAAGAATAACATAGCACGCGGTGAGCTACAGCCAGTGAAGGAGACCAATTCATTGATTTTCATTTGCTTGCAAAATCACAACATTTTCCAATAAATCCTGTGAAGCGCTTTGAGATATTTTGATGACGTGATAAGGCAAATGCAAGTATTATTGTTATATTGATCAAGATACTTTAAGCAACTCGGAGCCAAGCAATGGGAACTACTGCAAAGACTTTAGAATTGCAGTATACAGTAACTGTATTAAAGGACCCAACCAAACCACAGAACTAATTTCAATGTGCGGGAAAAGTTCAACCAATTTCTTTTACAACAGATGATATCAAAGACATATTTAAATTCCTGTGACTAATCAAAGCAATGCCTTCAGTTTGCACTTTTGGAAATGTTCTGCTGTCGCATAATGGCACGATGCACTTCTTTTCAATGGGCGATTAGCACTCAAACAGATTATACATTTTAAAGCAAGCCATGTAAAGCACCCCGCGCTACAAAAGCAAAGTTATCTGGAAGAACGTTGCTCTATAGTCAGCAGCTGGAGTGTTTTGGATGGCTCAAAGAGCTTAGATATGGCTCGTTGTAAATAATGGGATTCTGGATGATTTCATCCACAATGATGTGAACGGGAAAGCTATTAGTCTGCTGTTTTGGATTGTGTACATAAATGGCAAAACTGCACGCAGATGAAAATTTCCAATGTATTGTATTCTTAAGAACCCAGTAAGCTAGGAAGATTTCGTGATTTAGGCTTTTGAAAATGCGCTCACGTTTTTTTGACGTCACGCCAAGCGAAATTAACTACACTGAGTTTTTTTTTGAGTGGTTTTGTTAAAAGCTAAAAACACTTTATTCCATTCAGTCAGTGCTTTGCTGCCCCATGGAATTTGATATCCAATGAATGAAGAAGCCACCGATTAAGCTGAATTTGACTGTTGGAACATCTAGTAACTCAGGATGTTGTGAAGATGTGAGCAACATTAAGAAATTCTTAACTTTAATAATACGTATGTCGTCAGACAGTCAAAGAAATCCATTAGTATTGGGTTTACAAATTTTGGAATCTGAATCTACGTCAAATATTATTCTGTAAAACTGCATGTGTTTCGCCCACAAAATATACAGTCAATTCACGTTGCAGTACGTTGTGTGAAGTGCCTTGGGACATCTCCACGACACGATGAGACGCAATATCAAATGCAAGGATGTGAGTGCAAAAATGCAAGGATCTATGTGTGTGTTTGCCTTGCCTTTCAAACCAGTCTGTTCCCTGGGTGATATAACGGGTGATGTAAACCAGCAGCAGCTTGAACTGGGATTCAGCCCAATGTGTTTGTCAAAGGAGCAGCACTTCTCTATTGCATTCATTCCTACCTGTGCCATACATGAGCTATAGCCGAGGGATAATGTGATAATATAGATAATGTGTTCCAGGATAAAGAAACACTTCCTGGTTTCTGACCTGAAATGCTTCCTCCCGGTTGCTGAGAGCGGAAAAAATGGCAGAATATGAATTTTGAACAATAGACAAATTCAATCGTTTCTTTCTGAACAAAATCTGAATTTAGATTTCAGTTTAGCGATGATCCCTTTAAAACACACACACACAAGCTTGACAAAGTAGATGCGATGTGATTAGACTATTTCTATACCTGATTTGACCCCGTTGTTCTATAATTGTGTCATTTTCTGCCTTATCAAAAAAATTATTCCACACTTGATGGC